AAGCATAGGCTTGTTTGTGAAGTCAGCGTGTACAGGTTTTTTAAAAGGCGTTTTAAGGAATTGATGACTTTTTGGCCATATCCAGAGATACAGAAGCCCTACCACAGATGACACAAAATCTCCAAGATGTCCATAAAGAAACGGGAGGCACATGTTAAAGTAAGATAAAGTAATATCATATTAGAGGTTTTGTGTCTTAAGTCCCCACCGGTCTAACTTGCAAACTTGGCGGGAACTTGGCTGAAGATGCTTGGGGCATTTTTCCCCCCCTCCTCCTTACCCAAATCCAAATCCAAATGCAAATCCAAATCCAGAATCTTACCATGCTCTGGCCTGTAAGGACAGGGAACTGTTGTAAGGAGAGTGCCTGAGCCTAAATGAGGGACGCATGATGGATAGACTGGGTCCTTACTGCTCCAGACACATGGAAGGAGGAAGTGGAGCAGGACAGCCATCACCATGGTCTTTTGGTACTCACTGACCCAGCCCAGTAGGGAACTTGGGCCAGTCAGCCTGACTCAGGGGAGTAGTAAAGTAGGTTGGAAAAGATGATGTCAAGGGTAGTCTTGAATGCATCTCTTTCCTTAGAGCCCCACGGTCCTTGTGTGATCAGACTAATAAAATATTGTAATATGGACTCCTTATTAGCCTTTGACTATATGGCCACTGAGCCACACACAAATCTGCCTTTTATCGATAAGAGTGGGGAGTTGAGAGAAATGGCCTCCATTTTTATTATGAAGCCGTAGTAATTAAGATAAGGTAGGGGTGTTAATGTGATAGACATTCAGGCCAATAGAAGGCAACAGAAAGCCCAGGAAAAGAAACATGTGTACTGAAAACTTCATACACGAAAGTGACAACAGTGAAGACCATTAGGGAAAAGTGCGGAAAACTAATTTTCCATATAACACTTAGATCCTTACCTTACACTGGATCCAAAAAAATGAATTCCAGGTAGATTACTGCTCTGTGAAAAACGTAACTTTGAAACTTGTAGTAGAAAAACTAAGGAGTAGGGGTCTTGGAGTAGAGATGGATTTCTTCTAAATAAGAGTTGGAAAACCACAACTCTATGCCCTAAGCAAATTTGTTTTTTATGTTTTTAAAAATGTTTATTTCTTAGAGACAGAATCTGCAGCAGCCTCTACACTGACGGCAGAGAGCTCGATGTGGGGCTCGAAATCATGAACCGTGAGATCATGACCTGAGCCAAAGTCGGTCACGCAACTCACTGAGCCACCCAGGCGCCCCCCCCACCCCCACCCCCCCCCCAAGCAAGTTTAAAGGACAAATCACAGCCAGAGACACCAGGGGACCCCTTTGCAGACTTCTGGAAATCTCTCTGTGCAGCCAGCCTTCTTCTCTGGTGTTCTTGTCCCATAAATTTGAACTGTGGTGGTCTCCTGGATGCCAGCTTTTTTTTTTTTTTTTTTCCCTCAGCCTGGACTATTGGACTCTCTTTGGGTCTCACCTCCCTGTATTTGGAGTTGGGATCCGACCCCAGGCAGTAAGCTGGGCAGTCAGAGTATATCCCAGTTCATCTCTGCCTCTTGGGAATCATCCTCTTGCGTGACCTTTTGTCCATTATTTTACCTACTTTTGTCTGGCGTTCTAGTGATTTAAGCGGGGAGGGGAGTAAATCCGGTCTCTCTCCTTCTGCCACGGCCAGAAGTGGAAGTAACCCTCCTGTCATTTTTGTAAAGTTTGAAAAGCAGAACAGTGATACAGATAGATACACAGACACAAACACATTTAATGGGAAAAAAGTGAAACCGCATAAAAAATGCCTAGGGCAGCTAAACACCAAATTTGAGAGAACAGTGTCTTAGAGGGAGAGGTGGGAGAAGGCTACTCTGAAATTAAAGTGACAGACAATAACGGCAGAACTTGAGGATTCTTTGGAGCTTCCTAGGAGGTCCATGGAAGTCCACCATGTAATTCTGTGTAGTTTCTGTGCGCGTGAAGTCTAAGAAAAATGAAAAGGTATACCAAAGGGAGACTAAGTACAGAATGTTAGTTCCAGAGCATTCCAGAGAGATGAAGAAGTGAAAGAGAGTAGTAACTGTGTCTGGAAGCTCCCTAAGCCAGAAGGCACCGTTGGTGGGGACAAAATCGCAGCCACGGAGCTGGTGCATCTCCTTTACTCACCAGCCGGGTCTCCGGAAGGCCTGTGATTTCCCTGCTGGTGCTTTCCTCCTGGTACTTTTCCGTGATGAAACCCTTCAAAATCTCAGCTTCCACAAACACCACGTTGCTGAGTCACCCATCCACTCACCTCTGGGTCACTCCCCCTCGCTCCCGAAGACTTGAGCTCTTGGGTCGTCGTCACATTCTCTGTTATCCATCCCCACGGATGGCCTCTCTCCGACTTTGGCCTCTGGGTTTCTCGCACCACTTTCCTCCAGTGAGCGTCTCCTGCTTGGAGCTTCGCGGTGGCCTCTTGACTGGTTTCCCTGCGTCATCATCATCATCACACCCCTCACCCCGCTCCAGTCTGTTCTTCGCACGGTAGCCGGCAGAGTGCCCTTTTAATACAAGGTCGTGTCCTTTCTCTGTTCCAGATCCTCTGGTGACTCCTGCCCCTGCCCGCCACTTGGGCCTCCTCGACCCTCCTGGAACCTGCTTGGCGTGCCCCTGCCTCGGTTGTATCCACTGCCCCCTCTGCCTCGAGTGTTTCTCCTGCAGCTACCCACGTGGCGAGTTCCTTTCCTCAGCTTCTGTGGCACCTTCTCCTCAACTGTCCCCTTCTTCACGAGCCTACCCCTGACTGCTTTATTTAAAACTGTACTCACATCCCCACAGATCTTTCCGTCTCTCCCTCTGCTTTCTTTCCTTCTCCCTGCCACCTATCGGTATGCTGTAATTTATGTATTTACTTTGTTTATTGTCTGTCTCTCTCCACGGGAATATAAGGTCCTTGAGGACAGGGATTTTTATGTTTTACTTATTGCCGTAATACAAGTGTCTACAGGTGCCTGGGTGGCTCAGTCGGTTAAGCATCTGACTTCGGCCCAGGTCGTGATCTCGCGGCTCGCGTGTTCGAACCGACGGCTCAGAGCCCGGAGCCTGCTTCGGATTCTGTGTTTCCCTGTCTCTCTGCCCTTACCCTGCTCGCACGCGCTCGCTTTCTCTCTTTCTCTCTCAAAAATAAACATTAAAAAGAATATAAGCGTCTAGAACAAGGGCCTGGCACAGAGAAGGTGCCGTTAGTGGCTTTGGGGATCCCTGTTGCCCCCATTTTGGGCTTTGAGTATCAGCTTTGTGGGGTCCTGAGATCCCAGCTGTGTGACTCCTTCCATTCTCGAGGGTCTCTCCGTGACCCCTCTGCTTCTCCTGGGGACACACAAACCATTTGGTTGCTCCCGTGCCACGAGGGGACACAGCAACACTTCAAGGCTGTCTGAGGCTCCGTCCGCCGAGGTGCTCCACGAAACTCTTCCTTGCTGGGCTCTTGTCTTTTCTGGGGCACAGTTGTGGCTCTCAGATCCCACAGCTCTGCCTGGACGTTCTATTGCCTTTGGCTCAGGGAACAAGGACTTTCTCTCTGGGACCCTGTTGACATCTTTTCAATATTTTCCCGTGCTTTTTTCCCCCCTTTCTGGATCTCGCTTTTTCCCTTCCCTCCCCCGGGCTGGAGACTTTTTTCCCTGGTGTGGCGAGGAGGGCCGTCTTGCTTTGGCTCATCTCTCCTGTCCAAGTTGTGAATCCGTCCCATTTTTCTAAGGGCCTGGGCTTTTGAAATCTAAAACTAGGAGGACGGGCCCTTTCTTTCTGCACTGGGCTCTCCCCTTCTCTTTGCTGAGTAGATGCTCACTGGTAATAACCGGGATGCTTTTCTGGAAAGAAGGGGCGTGGGAGAAAGGAAAGGCTAGGGCAGGGGAAATCGTCAAGTATTTAAAAAAATACAGTCCCGCCATGTGATGATAATACCGACAACAATAATGTCATTAACGTTGTTCACCGGAGTCGTCCGAGTGCTGTCTGTATGACGCCTCCATTAACCATCACAACGACTCCATGGGTATATGTTCTCATGCCCCCCCCCTTTTTTTTTTTTCCCCATAAAGGCAAGCTGAAGTCTAGTGAGGGAAAGGGATTTGCTCAGGTCCCACATTTGGCAAATAACGGACCTGGGCTTCGGAAGCAAGCCTGCTGTGCAGAAGGCTGTGCTTAGCCACTAACCTCCTGGCCCCTTGGCACCCCGCCCCTCTCCCCCCACCGGAGCCTCGGGACGCTGGGCCATGGAGATGGGGGGTCGGTTGATTCTTCCACGCTCCTGGCACTCATCCAGCAAGAATGGCGCTGGCCTTTCTCTTCCCTCCCTGGCCGGGCAGACGGGTCTCTCCGTGGTGCTCCTGTTGTCAGCCTCTTCCTGGAAAGCTGGCGTCCCTCTCTGCTTCAGGCCCACGTCATATCCCGGGAGGTGTCCAGTCCTTCTTCCCCCCTCCCCCCTCCCGCCCCCGCTCCCTGCTTCCCCTTCCCCCCCTACCCTCCACCTTCCCTCCTTCTTCCCTTTCTCCCTTGGGTTTGGCCTTACAAATAAAACATAAATTTAGCTCGTACCACAAAAAGGGAAGAAGAAGCGATAAGTATAAGCAGCACACAGTTTAAAAGTAAACACCCTCCCATTGGGGCCACAGGCTTTGCAGGGAGGGTACCGAAGGTCTTGAGGTCTCTGGGCTCTCCGTCTCCACCACCCAGTGAGGCTGAACAGAGACCTCCTGGCCTCTCCCCCCAAACAGCAGTGCCTTTTCCAACAAGCAGAAGGCCTGTGGCTTCAAGAGGCCCTCCCAGCTCCATACTATCTCTGTTGTCAAGGGCTGGTCCTTTGGGTAAACAGGCTGACTCTCAAAATCTCCAGCATCAGACTCTGTATCAGTCTCCAGTATCGGTCTTAGTATGACTTGGCTCATCTAGCTAGCTCAGGTCAAGACTCCTAGGGGGCAGTGGGGAGGGAGGGGAGGAGACTTGGGACATGGGGTGGGGGACTGTGAGAGGGCTCTGGGCAGCCGACCAAGGGTGCCGTGTGTGTCTCTGCAGGTGAGGACTCCATCAGCACCCTGGGCCTGATCCTTGGCGTGGGGCTCTCGCTGCTGCTCGTGTCCGTCCTGGGCTACAGCCTGGCCAAGTGGTACCAGCGTGGGTACTGCTGGGAGGGTGAGTGAGCGCCGGACCCTACCATCCCAGCCCCTCCTCTCCTGTCGCAGTGGGCAACCTCGGGTGCGGCTGCACACCCTTCAGCGTGGCATCATGCAAAGATATTTCCTGTGGTGGCTGCAGTAGTTGAAGACTTGAGTGGGAGTGGCTGAGCGCTTGAGGAGGGGGGTGTGGGGTACTGGGCTTTTATCGAGGGAGTGAGGGCTCCTCCTACCCAGCGGGTAGCTGCCTTTCTTTTCCCTCAGAGCCCACAGGAGTCCATCCCCAAGGCCCGTGTGGGGCCCGAGGCCAGGGGCCCCACTCGGGCTCCTTGTGTCTCTTTTCCCCTGCCCGTGGGTCCTGGGCACCCCCCTCCCGAGTGTGCCTCAGCTTCCCTGGGAGTCTCCTGGAATTTGCTGCGGGACTCCCAGCTCTGAGCCACACCTGTGCTTCCCACAGGACCGGGGAGAGTTGGCAGGGCATGCCGGGAATCCCCAGAGGGAGAGAACATTTCTCAGGTCTGCAGTGGATGCCCACAGCGTCCAAAAATGTTTGTTGGGCACCTGCTATGTGCCAACGCGCTTTCGCCCAATACGACTTTCTTTAAAATTCCATGTAAGGATGGGATTCTTAGTCTCTGGTTTTTATAGACGAGGCTGGAGGGCCGAAGTCACAGGGTTAGAGACAGGCGTAGTCCAGGTTCAAGCCCAGCTCTCCTCCTTTTGGACTCTAAGCTAGGACTGTCTCTTTGCCAGGGTAATCAGTACCGGTAATGGAGGGGGGGGGATGCCTAGCGGCAGGATCTGTCCCCCAAAACTGGTAGTTCTGTCTGGGCAGATGGGGTGCACCAATGGGCGTGGGGCAGGCAGTAGACAGTGAAGCAGCGTGGGGCCCTCCCACAGCATCCTGAGGTCCAGCCCAGCCGCCCCCCTCCTCCCAGATGGGGTGAGGGAGCACTAGATGTTCTCAGACAGCTGATGGGCAGGTCTCCTTGGAGGTACTAACTCTCTCTTTTCTGACTGTCTTCCTAGGGCCTAATTTTGTCTTCAACTTGTATCAGATCCGGTAAGTAGATCCACGGCAGGGGTGGGGTTAGGTACGGAGCCAAAACTTATGGTTTCTCTTCCTTGTCCCTTCCCCATCCCCCTAAGCACACCAGGGAAAAGGAAGGAGCCAGGGTCTGTTTACAAAGTGTCACGAATGAAAACTTGAACTTGGACCGGATTATGTAAGACCATGCTGATGGTGACCCTCTTAGCATTTACCCCTCGGCGGGCCCGCGCCCCCCACCGGCAGGGACCAGTCATCCATTCCTTCATTCACTCATCATTTATTCAGGAAGGATCTATTGTCACAGGGGCTGTGGAGTTAGTGTCTAGGGGTACAGTGAGTGTGGTCTCTTGTCTTCAGCCATTTCACTGCTGGTGGTGGACACAGGCCTGACTACAAATCAGATAACCTCGGGCACAGTGTGACGTCAAAGGAAAGGAACAAATGAAGACCACCAGGGATTTAGGGAGTGGGGGTCAGAAAGTCCTCCCGAGCCGTCTTGTCCACTCTCTGCCACAGGGCAGGCCTCCTCCTCCTCTGGCCCCAAGCAGTGGTCCTACTCCTGTTCTGGAACGCAAGTCAGTCTGGGAGTCACTGCCGCAAAGTTCTTCCCATGCGCTGGTCTAGGGAGTTGTGGTCCCAAGGAGAGATCAGCTTCTCAGCCCCCAAAACCCGATGGGATCATCTTTCTCAGGAACCTGAAGGAGCCGGAGGCGGGTCCACCCTTCACCATCAGTGGCCACGTCAGCAGTTCAGATGGCGGCTACGTGAAGTTCTCCGACAGGCTAGTCTGATGGGGGAGTGTCAGCCTCTGGAGCCCCGGAGAGGTGAGTGGAAGGTTGGCGAGCTCCTGGGTGAATCTCCTGTCCTGGTCAGGTCCACAGGTGGTCGAGACACCCAAGCACTGCTCGGAAATCAAGAGCTGATTCTCTTCATCCCTCCCCACTTCTTGAGGGGTGGGGTCTCTGGGAGGTGGCCTCAGGAACCGAGGCCTAGCGTCACACTGTCCCCACCACCTGCCAACACCAGACAACTCCTTTCCACCTGTGCATTCAACCCGTGTCCTGCCTTCCCTTCCTGGGGAGGTTCTGTTTCTAATCAGATGGCAGCTTCTAGAGTCAGGCTTTCTGTCTCAACTCTTTGCTCTGAGCCAAAGGTTCTAGATGGTCACTCTTTCCAAGAAGCATCGCTCCAGAGTGTCATTTCTGAACTGAATGCCTAGGAGCCATCTCTGCTTCGTAGCTGGCTGGCCCTTGGGTCACATCTTCCCTCCGCCTGCCTTCAGGCCCCTCCCCCTCCACATCGCAGTTGCTTTTTCCCATCCACCTTCTCCCTCGAGTAGTTCCTCATGGACCCTCCCCCACTTTTTCTCTCAGCTTCTCTTCCTGCCTGGGAAAAACCTCGCCTGATGCAGTGGTTTAGAGGGATTCTTTCCAAGCCTCATCTCTTTGTTGCTCTCCCTTTGCTTTTTCTGCAGGAGGAGGCTCCTGGCTCAGCACCTGCTCCTCCGGGGTCCCCGGGCTACTTTCACCCTCCTAGGTCTTCAGGGTCCGCCCTGGTCCCTTGCTGTGGACAGTGAGGAGTCACTCTGGGTGCACCTGGGAGAACCCCCAAGAGGGGTCTGGGCTCTGGAGACAGTCTGGTAGAGTAGCAGTGGCTTTCTCATACAAACCAAAATGGCAGGCATTGCCTAAGAGTAAAGACTCCTTCCTAGGTGTCCCTGGGGTTCCTGAGCCTGTGGAGGGGTTCCAGGTGTCCTGGAGAACAAAGCCCTCCCAGCTCAGCCCTGTGTGACCAGGGCCTGCAGACCCAGAAGGGTGCTGTGCATGGGGCGTCCCCAGTCACTTCCCCTTAAAGGGCTGACTCCAAAGGCCGGAAAACCAGTCAGATCTTCAATAGGCAAAGTCATGTGGGAGTGGAGGTGATTCCAGATAGTGTTTTTAACCTTCCTACCATAAACCAACTTCCTCTAAGAGCTGAAGGCTGAGCTTGGCCTTTGCCCTGCCCTTCCCCGCTCTGTGCTCAGTTCTGGTGCCTTTCAACCCTCCCGTGCCCCTGTCCGCCACCTGGGTTTGTTTTCCCTGCTGCTGACCAGCCGCCGTGCCTCCCAAATAATTTGGAGGTCGCTACTTAAAATAGTCTAGAAACATGATCTTACTCGATTTTCTAGGCTCCTGCAATGGGTGGGCATGCGTTGGCGGTGGAGAACTCTCCCTGTGTTCTGCATTTCCTGTGCAAGGCTTGACCTGTGATGGGGAGGGCAGACCAGAAATGGTAGGAGTCGGGGAGGAAACCAGGCGAGGCTAAAAAAAAAAAACAAACAAAAAACCCAGCTAATGCGCGAGGGAAGTCACGAACCAAGTGTAGGCTGATGGACGGTAGAGCTGTCTGCCTTGGGAGTCATTACTTGTTCCTCTGGTCTGTGCCCTGCTCGACCTGAGGTGGAGGCTGCCCTGGGGTGTCTTCCTAGTAGGCCTTTAATGCAGAGTCGTTCAATCCAGAGAGACTGAGCTCCTGGGGCAGCTGTGGACAGAGCAGAGCCTGAGAGAGGCCCTGCCAGTGCTGAAACCTGAGTGAAGACAACCTGCCGACGTCCCAGGACCAAGGCCAATATGATGCCGGAGCCCAGGACAGTGATAGGCGAGGAGGAGAGAAATCATATTATTCGTCTTCCTGTCCTTGCTTCCTCAGGGCATGGTTTCTTTCTTGCTTTGGGTTCTAGCCGATTGAGAAAGAAGGAAGGGAGGAGAGGGGGCATTACCAGCCCCTGTGCCCCCCCTCCTTGCTGGGATCCGAGGGCCATTCTCTCAGCGTAGCCAAGCTCTGACTTCGTAAACCAAATCTCTAGATTTGGAGGTCTTCATCTGGGCCCCAACTCTCTTATCCCTGAGTTGGTGAGAGTCGGGCAGAGCCTTCACAGGCTTTCTATCCCTCTCTCCCTTGAGGGCTGTATTGGGAGAGCGGTGAGGAGGTTTGCATGGGCTGACTTTGACATCCTTCTTGGGTTTCAGTTCTGAGGCTGGGCCCCATTCCTGAACTCCTGGGGCGTCCAGCCTCAAAAACACTCTCGACAATGCCCTGCTCGGCATGGATCCTGGGTCTGCAGCCCGTACAGGTCCCTGAATGTGCTCAGGGCCTCAGCACCTTCAGCAACTTTGGGGAAACATGAAAGGTTGGGGCCCGGGGCCCAGGCGGTCCTGCCCCAGGTTTGGTGGCTTCAGGTAGGGAGGCAGGAGCAGCTGCTGAGGGCTGGGAGAACGGAGGGTATTTCCCATCCTTGGGAGCGGAACTGAGACTGGGCCACTTCCTCTTTTAGGGTCGTCTGACGTGCTCCCTGTCCCCTCTGCCTCCTTCTTGTTTTCCTGACTTCCGCAGTCCTCTGGGCTAACACAGCTTTAGCCTTGACCCTGGGCCTCACCCAAGGATTTGACCTGAATTTTTCGAGAGCCCTGAAGTGGCGGCTTCCAGCATATTCAGGAACGATTAGGGAACAGATGCCTGGAAACCTGGCTACTGGTCCGGGTGGGCTGGGCACTCAGACCCATGACCCTGCCGGGGCCTCCCCCACAGCCTCCTCTTCCTCTTGACGATCCTTTCTGCTAGCCCCAAGAGCCAGGATGCAGTCAGGAGAGCCAGCAGTTCTGTGGGCTGGCCATTCCCGGTCCCTCTGCCACCCTGTTCCTCTTTAGTGCCTTTGCCAGGGCTTCCGGAAATGTCTTCTCCCTCCCTCCTAGCCACAGCTAGTCTCCAGGGTTGCCGCAAGCGTCCTCTTCCCTGTGGCTTCCTTCAGGATTCCCGGCTCATTGTCACCCGTTAGATCCTGATGGGAGGTGGCCATGTGTCCTCCATTTGTGCTGTTCCCCAACCAGGGTGAGCCCTTTGTGGGCGGGGTTATTGTCCCATAGGTCTTTAGTAACTGCCAGAAACAGGCCACGTAGGAAGTGCTCCAGAATACAGTAGGCACCCCCCAGCGTGGCTCCGGAGGGCTGCCTTGTCCTAGAGAAAGACGCCCAGTGACTGGAAGAGCCACACTGCTTGCACAGCACAATGTGCAGAGAACAAATTATCTTCACGCGCGTCGCTGCGACTTAAACCCTGTGGCAGCCTTGTGACGTGGGGCGTCTAGTAGTGGCCGCATATTGCCTCTGGTGACACTGAGGCTCAGAGAGCTAGCCTGCCTTACCTGAGGCTGCACAGCTGCTGACTGTCCGGGAGCCTGAGTAGAGTTTGAGGCCTCACAGAGGGAGCCTGACCCACAGGCTTAGTGGGCTGACGAATGAACACTGTCGAACGGGGTCCAGCCCTGGCCTGCCCTGCCGTGCTGGGTGGGGCCGCGGGCTCGTCACTTCACCATGGCTCTGTGTCTCTGCATCTGGAAATCGAGGGATCGGACTATTTCTCTAAGGCTCTGCTCTCTTACCTGAAGGAGCAAAAGGATCGTCTGTTTTTGTTGTTGCTTTTCTCTCTGTGTTGTGTCTAGCGTGAGACCTGGCACATAGTAGGTGTTCAATAAACAAAAGATGCAAATACAGAGTATATAGTTCTGATTTTCTAACTTAGGAGGTGGGCGGTAAAACGTGCCTCACGTAGCCCCTTTAGACTCCAGTGGTCTAGGATCCAAAATATTACTCAGCCTCTGACCAGCATCTAAGACTGGACCATTCCCAACCGAAACTTCTTTATCAGCAAACTAACGTTTGCTGAGCACCTGTGAGGGCGGGCAGGGGCTCTGTACGCACAATCTCCCTTCATCCTCACAGGGGAGGGAACAGAGGATCAGGGTCTGGTGAAAGGATTTGCTTAAGGCCAGGCAAGAATGTATTTTCTTTATAATCCTTTGTCAGCCACCTTGAGCCTTGAGTCCAAGCTGGCAGCTTCCCTGAGTCCCTGGTCCCCCAGGAAGCAGGCCCCTCCCACTAGCTTCTGCTCTCTTTCCCGGGTCCTCTGGTGTGGTGAGAAAGGGCCCTGTCCTCAGCTCTGAGCTTCTCATTGACCCATTCCTTAGTTTTCCTTTTATTTTTTCTTACCCCCCGCCCCCCCCCCCCCAGCCTCCAAATCATCAAATTCTGCCCCTTCTTTATGCCAGCTGTATTTTCACTTCCCCACTGGTGGGTCTTGTTGTCTTCTCAAATTTAATTACAAATACTCTCTGGCTTCCTTAACTGAATCATTGACTATTCCCTTCTATTCATTCATTCACACAGCTTCTCTAATAGGCCAGGAACTGTGTGCCAGGCACCGTGGGGGTCTCCCAGTCTCTCTTGAGATTAACTGAGCTCCCCTCCTGTTTGATGGGTACTTTGCCGCAGGCAAAATTCAGGCCTGACACCTTTTCTGAATTTTCTGTGGCAGCTTGCATGGCTCTGGCCATAGCCAGGAATGTCTCAGGAAATCATAGGGAATATTGCTCAGTCTTTTCGGGGAACCTTGGGCTTTGCTTGATCCCCAGTCCAGCTTTGGGTGCTCTAAAAACCAAGGCTTTTGATTTTCTTTGCTCGTCCTCAGTTACGTGCAACCCTGTGGCCATCATCAGGTCCAGATCTGGACCCAGAGCACACACGAATGGTGACTTTGTCTGTTTAAGGGCTACCTTAAGGAAGGGTCGAAACCAGGAAGAGGCTGGGCAGGTGAGGAGGGGTCTCGGCTCCCCTCTAGGTTCTCTCTCAGTCGTACTGATCTTGCTTCCATGCCAGTGGCCATGCGGGGCCAGCTTCTGTGGTGCTCTCTCTCTGCCCCAGTGGTACGAGAACCTCAAAGTGGGGGCACACGGGAGTATCATTACCATATTTAAAAAACTGCTTAGTGGGGCGCCTGGGTGGCGCAGTCGGTTAAGCGTCCGACTTCAGCCAGGTCACGATCTCGCGGTCCGTGAGTTCGAGCCCCGCGTCGGGCTCTGGGCTGATGGCTCAGAGCCTGGAGCCTGTTTCCGATTCTGTGTCTCCCTCTCTCTCTGCCCCTCCCCCGTTCATGCTCTGTCTCTCTCTGTCCCAAAAAATAAATAAATGTTGAAAAAAAAAAAACTGCTTAGTGATCAAAAGCTGTCTAGAAGCAGTGGTATTTAAGCAGATCTGGTACAAAACAGGAAGCCGGTGGCCTGGTGAATTCTCACATTTGGGGACCAGAAGTGAAAATGTTCTGTCTGCCCAGAGTAGCAAACAGGCCAACAAAACAACAGGTGGGGCGGTGCTGGATGTCAAGGCCTTGGTGGGCTCTCTGTCTCCTGGATTTTTCCCTGCAGAGCCGTGTGTGTGTGGTGGGGGTGGGGGGGTATCTCCCTACTCCCCAAAACCTAGGATAAGGCTTTTCATATATAAGCTGGGAGCCTTTGGGAGGGAGATGGGTGGAAAATGTAAGAAGCCTCCAGTTTCATTGTAGCCCCAGTAGCTGGTGGGCCCCAGGTGCCATCGGACCTGAGGACGGTGAGTTCCCTTCCAGCTGTGAGGCTCTTGCAGAGCGTGGGTGACTTCAGTGCCACGGTGCTGGGG